ATGACAGCATAACCATCATTCCACCAGTGCTCTCTATGCACCGTTACCAGGAAGATAGGAAGTTTCAACCGTTTCCGGCAACTTTTCCCAGACGCTATCCCATCGACACCGCGAAGTAGCCGTCCTGATATCCGTGCTCAGCGTTACTTCGGCAACTAGTGTGATATTATCGACAACACTGATTTCTGCCATCACTCTACGCGAACAGCTGCGTACTGGTTCTGACAACCTCATCGCCAACCACCAGCTTCTGCATATCCTATAGACTAATCGGTGTTCCGTTCTACATCTTAACCGGTTGGTCCGAGTGGCTGAGCGGTCTTTTCATCCTGGACATCAACTGCACCGTCATGTTTTCATCTGTCAGGTGTTCTTCTAAAGTCCAACATGGAGTTCGCTTTCTTTGCTTTTAACCGTTTCATGGGCCTTGGTCTATCAGCACCAGTATAATCTCATCGCATGCGGCAAGTTTTTGCTGCATTATCACGGCGAGGACTATTAGCACTGTGGTCAACATTCCAGGATTATGTAGCATTTGCGGTGTTTTTGGAAAGCGTGAGGTGGATTGTGGATCCGTTTGCTACTAGATGCCATGGTGCTGGATGGAACGAGCTTTTGGTGCTTATCTTCCGTTGAGTCTCCGTGCTCATCTTCACGGTATAATTTTGATTCGTTATTGTAAGAGGAATGACAAAGTGCAACCGGCAGAGAGAAAGCACGTAGAAGAGCGGAAACGCTGCTGTTCTGCTCCTATTTATGGCTTATCGCTTGCTACTTAAAATTCCTAATTGGCTTCTGTAGATTTCCACGATTTTGGTTCGCCGACAAGGTGCGCATAGGATGGTTCATGGCTCTGCAGGAAATTGGATATGGCGGAAGTCCGGTATGTGAACCACTGAACCAGAGTTTATCCATGAAAGTACCTACATAACACGTTTATCGTTGATGTATTATTTAGGTATTTTACTGTTGATGAACGACCGCGTTGTAGGAATCACCAAACAAGCAGCAAAGCGTCTAGACTCTGTTCTGTAACAAAAATTCCGCAGCTGTTGCATCGGCTTCTACCTGTGCAGCGTTTCGATGAAACGGGAAGGTCGGCGATAGGCCAAGCTATATTGCAACCTGCTTTTTGAGCATACGGATACATTATGCGTAATAAAAACGGCTTATCGTTTTTTATGGCAAATACGTATTATTGCTGGTTACTGCTATATTCACGAAATATAGCATTATTTCTGTTATTTTATTTTCACTGTTACGAGTATTTTCACCCTTTTTTCGAAGCACGATGTTTGTCAACGGCAGTAAGAAAGCGGTTAAACTGATACGAGTAACGGTAATATTATACAAATCAATCGGACAGATAGATACTACTGTTCTTATAAACGAAGCATTTGTCAAGATAATAATATTAATAATTTGTTGTTACAACTTACAAGATCAAAAGCAAAACATAAATATTTATATTTACAATAATGCAACAGTACTAATACAGCTTGATTACGATAAAAGGAAATATGATGGCCGACAAATAATTAACCCAGTACGTGGCAATATCGGCGGAATAATTCTGTACATCCGCGTATAGCTCCAATCCGCTATACACTTCATACGGGATCCACAGCAAACAATAAACAAAACCCAATACAATTACACTGGACGGTTTTATCGATGCATCACGCTTTAGAACGGCTGACGCATCGGAGTCGTAAGCCGCTACGGCGCGTTGTATTTGTAGCGACACCGCCGATTCAATATACGACATCTCCATGGCCATTAGATCCGTCGCGCTGGCATGACCGGAACGCAGCTTAATTTCCGTCGTCTTGCGTGTCTTGACTTGGCAGACATTTCGCAGTAAACAGATATCCATGATAACTACAAGAAAGGTCGGTAAACAGTCGCCCAACCAAAAATACGCCGACCATGCCGGATAATTTGGGTACGTTTGCAATCTGCAGTCCGTCAAAGAATTTTGTCCAGTTACCCAGGGCATTAATTTATCCAACGTATAAACTGGTACAAACAGCAAATTGGCCCACATAAATCCGGTAAGTAACAACGCCATCTCAATCTTCACAGTCTGTATAACATGTTGCGGATAGTAGGCCTGTGCGCAGCACAGCGCATGCAGACACACGACAAAGAATGACGTCAAAGGATTGGTCATCCAGTCGACGCATTGCCACACCACGCAGCTGATGTCGCCAAACGACCACTCCGTGTACGCCACCGTGTAGCCGAATAACCCTGGCACACCAATAAACGCTGCGAAGAAATCCACAACTGTTACGCCCAGGATTAATAAGTAGCCCGGCGTCCAGTCGGTGCGTCGTCGCCAAAACAGGACGATTTCGTATCCATTATAGCAGGAGGCAAAGATCCAGAAGAAAACCGACCAGGTCAGCCAACCCAGGTTGGCCGGGGTACGGTTTAGTTGCAGAGCCGTGGATCCATTGTGAGGCGGCATTGTATAAAACATTCTTCTGGTTGGGTAAGAAAAAATCCGTTAATAAATCAGCCGCCAACAAAATGAAAAAAATTGCGCTACTTAGTTGGAAATTTCAACATTCGAAAAGCTTTCAAAACATGCGTTCCCGCATATTATTAACTGAATTACTGAAAGGAAAATAGCATTTTCTTCAATGAAAATAAAGTAGAAGGAATGCGCCGGTCAACTTAGCTGCCGTATTTTTCAGTCTATAAATTCGATTTATGTAGTGTAAGCTAGCCCATAAAATGCCGGAACTTCAATTACGTAGAAGGAAAAAATAAGGTCAGAAAAGTAGCGCAGGAGAAATTTGTAGCGAATTTAGCCTTTTGTGGTCAATAATTTGCAAGAATAAGAGCACCGCGTCGAAATTTGCAAGAATAAAAGCACCGCGTTAAGCGCTTTCATGAATCCCGTCTGCCTACGCCGATTGTTCCTGTCTGATCGAAAACATGCCACTTGAGCACGAAGATTTATCTGGCATCTCGCACTGCATAACAGACTTGGTTGCGTTCGTTGCCTGTCTGATTAATTGAAGATTCTCCGTATAATCATCAGTCTACTGGTGCATTTCCATGGGTGCAGCGGTGTAACACGCAGCTTGCAATTTCCTTGTCAGGAAATATTCCCGGCATTCAATTAGTCCAAGTAATGCACAAAACTCATCTACACTGATTACGGTTTAATGAAATTCGTGCCTTGGTAAATTAAATTAGCTTTTGCAGGCGATGGTGAATGCTTAGTGATACACGTAAGAATGTACGAGTAGATTTTTGCAGCACACTGCACAGTAAGTACATGAAACCCCGGCATACCTGTGCACTTCCAGGGAAGAAGGATATTCCAACAGCTTCTTTCGCTTACTTCGATCGATAATAGGGCCGAATAATTAATTTCCGTTGTTATATGTCCTCATTCGCTACTTGTTATTTTCGGGAATGCAAATTGCAATTACCGCTATTTTATTAATGTACGTATGCAGCGGTTGTTGCACGTGTACTGCGTCCGGATGTAAAGTTTGCGTTTGCTAAAAAGAAATACAATACTGCTACCAACAAGAAGCTGTTAGACGATATGTATAATTCAGTGAAAGAGCTGGCTCAATCATTTGCATGTCTCACCATGAGACCGAGAGCGCACAGATGTAATTCGCTCGTACAACACGGTATGGCGACCAGTCTGCGGAAAGGTCAGGTTATAATATTACGTCCTAGGCTCCTAGCGGAGGATTGTTAACAGGGAGTTTGCACCGAGCGGGTTGCAGCACCATTAATGGAAAAGCCTGTAGTACAGCTTTACCCAGCTATTACCAATATTACTACAAACAATTATTATTTGTAGTGCCATAATTATTGCCGATTTAAAGGCAGCATTTAGGAAATTAAAGTAAATTTCATTTCAAAGAAACAGGTCTCAAACTTTTGCCGACACTCCATGTGCACCAGCTACTGAAACTCCTAGAGGCTAGAAATAAGGTATCCAACGTCAGCAAAACCTATATGGATGCGAACTGTAGCATGATCTATCGGCTTTCGGTGCCTTTAACTTCGTGCACCGTGTAAGAGTACCCCACACACATTAAATTTTTATCAGTCAGCAGGAAAGCGGAAATCCGTAGTATGCAAATAACAAAAGCGCACACCACGCAAGTAAAAAAAGGTACCGGAAATACTACCTAAATTGGACATACCACCTTGAATTTCAGCTTTGCTAGAAGTCCAGGCATGGTTACATTCCTGGGAAGTCAATCGAAAACGATTGGCTTTGTGTTTTACTTTCTTGAACAGTGAACAGATAACGGTGGTACGTCGCCTTCTCTGACATTTTCAAAAAAATGAGTTATTTACGGCTTTCAAATACAAAAATTTTTAATTTTGCTTTCAATACGCAAGCATCCACAATTTTGCGTTCATGTGATCCAATGATCCAGTGGTAATCAATGATCCAACATAAATTATCCCATTTTTTATTTTAATGATGCAATAACGCAGTTTAGAACGATATTGTTTTTCTGCAGGATATTTGAATTTTTGTATGCTGTTTCTATTAATTGAAAATGGCTAAAGGGGTAGTGGAGCATCTAAGAATTATATTGCTAGTAATCCTCCGCACTCCTCGCTGGAATGTCCCGAGTCAACTCCGCTCACTTTGTATAGAGCGGAAGGAATCGATCGTTCCATAAATTTGGATTCCATGCGGTAAGGTATTGAAATAACATCCACAATGCCTATGCAACTGTGGCGCAAAATCAAGCCGTGCTGCCTAAATATATGTCTATTAGAAGGGATTTAATAACCATTAATGGATACTGCCCCGTTCCACAAAGACTAACATCAAACTCGTGTAGCTGAACTTTCAATAAAACACGTCATAAAACACCCACACGCACACTGTTGGCATCCCTTGTTCTGCCTGAGGAACAACGCAGCGGTGTATCTCATTACGTCTCGGTGCATTCTCCCGCTCCGTATTATTCGCGTTCTAGTTCCGAGGGAAGTACTAGAGTTTAACGGACGTGCTTCTTACCATAAATTTTCCAGGTATTCTACAATGAATATTTCAGATATCCAAGGTAACCTCTCCCATAAGTTTTCCAGTCGCCAGAACGAATTATTCGCTTTGCTATCCGTGTTTACGGTAGCCTCCATCATCGGTGTCATGTTATCGGCGACGCTGTTTTTCACCATTATTCTGCGTTCACAGTTGCGCACCGGTTCGGGCATACTCATCGCCCATCACCAGCTATTACACGTCCTGCAAACCGGCATCAGCAATCCGTTTTACATTGTCACCGGTTGGGCAGTGTGGATGGGGGTCTCCATTGCCGGTATCGACTGCACCGTCATGTATTTTGTCTGCCAGGTGATTATCTGCACCGAAACATGGAGCTCCTTGTTCTTAGCGGTCAACCGTTTTATCGCCCTAATTTATCCACACCAATACAGCCATATCGCCTCGAATAAAGCTGTTGGTTACTTCATTATTTCAGCGTGGTGTATCAGCGCAGCCATTAATCTGCCGGGGTTGCTAGGAATCGGCAGCTTGTTTGGATTTCGGGAGGTCGACTGCGGATTCGTCCGGGTGACCAATCTCCATCTTCTGAATGCCGTCGCCACACTGGGTGTGTATCTTCCACTGGCGCTGCAAGGCGTCGCTTACGGAATTATCTTAGCCAATCATTGCCGGAAAGATGAAGAAACGCGGGCAGCTGTTTCGCATAAAAAGCGCTTCATATTGTTTCGTCTGCTCTTGGGTTCATATTTGTGGTATGTCACCTGTTATCTGCCGTTTCTAATTGTCCTCTACGGGTTTCCGCGATTTTGGTTCGCCGATAAAGTGCGCGCCGGCTGGTTCATCGTGCTGCAGCAGATTGGATACGCAGGAAGTCCGGTAGGTTTAGCCGGTTTTATTTTAGCGCATTGTGTGTTCAGTGTTGGGTGTATTTTGTAGGTGTTCTTGTTGTTGATGAACAAAGACACCATTAGACTAGTGAAAGATGGTATTGAGCACTTGTTGTGTCAAAGGAATTCGGTGGCGGCTGCGTCCACATCCATGGCTATGTCCAACCTGACACCCAATAATCCTGCGACTAGTTAGCTGCCTATTTTCGTTCCCAAGGATGTGATTTTCTACGCGCTTTTACAATGTATTTCGCAATACATGTTTCAGTGTTTACCCTTGAATTTTATGGAAGTGTGCTTAGTAACTGATAATGCACATCAACGTCCTTTAAGTTTATTTCGAGTGGACGCTGAAATTTGATGAGAAAAAAAATATTAGTGGTTTCGAGCATTTTCAAGGTTTTTACTGCGGTGTTACGGTGCTCGGTATTATAATGTAACCGCATTTTGACTCATAAATAAGCTGTCACAGAAAATACAGTACTTTAGGAAGTGCCAGGTTCGATGAATGCAGCGCGCTATGGTGGCCATGTAGCTGGTGCAAGTACCGGTTCTTATTAAAGGTGTAACCTGTTTTTAACAGTATTCATAATAAAACTGGATTTGATTTCGCCTGTTTTCATTGACCCGAATTAAAGTAGTGCCGGTTCAGTGTGTCTATACGAGTTAATACAACTACAGATATACCAGATATAGTTGCATCTTGCAGTTTGCAAACGCAAACATAACGTATTCTGGTTACCGTATCTGGTACATAATTATGGCGTGGTGGGAATTTATGTATTTATTAGTCCCAAAAAACTGAGGCTGCATGTAAGAAAACCCGTCTTTGTTAGCTTCCATGAATCGGATATTTATCGATTGTACGGTGGTCGGTGTGCGATGATTGCGTAGAAAGTGGTAGCAGCAAAGAGTTCTGATTGCTAAAAAAGCATTAAGAATAATTTTCTGAATCGCTGTCTAAAAGTCTGCATGGAACCAGTAGATAGCAAATTTAACACGCTGGTTGATTTATGAACAAGTAGGAGGACAAATTTGTCTCCGGTTGAAACGGGAAATTGTTTTCTGCTTTTATTGCAGCCATAAAACCGGCTCGGCTGCCCCACTTGTATATAACTTTATCCGTAATGAACAAATTTACTGGACGGATCTACCGCTGATTTACCAGTTGTTTGCATGCTGAGTCTTTACAAAGCCACATCAAAAAGTTCATTGTTTTTTTGTCCATTTTGAGAATGCGTCTTGCAACTGGAATCAATTTGATTAACAAGGGTATCCCCTTCCAGCATCAGTGATAATCTACTGTAACAGGAATTTAAGTTCTAGAGCAAAAATCTGGTGAGGTAGCCTGGTAGCAATAGAGACACTAGCACGCAAGGAATTGTACGAGTATCTGGCACATCATGGCTCAAAGCTTTTGGATAGAATTACATAGTTCGCTTAATCAAGTAATTGCCGCCCTTCGTATTGATTGGCACCTAACCCATATTCTGCTGTTTATTTTATGAGCCACAGATTTCTTTTAACACACATCCTCCTCACATCTAATTTGATTCACGCACCGTTAAGCAGTAAGAATTCACTTTGATCATTTATGTAAAAGAATTTGTTTTCCTTGAACTGCAACTAAAAGACCTACAGGTATGGTCAGAATGTATAGTAGCTAAAACATTTCAGCTGTGTTTTAGCGTTATACCTTCTTCGAGCGAAAAAGTTTGTTCATTGGGCGTTTCAAGTAAATAATTTAACCGAATTGAATATCTCCATTTTTACATCAATGAAATCCCCTGGATATTTTTAGATGATGGTAATATTGGCACTATAAGCAATGTGTTCACTTTGATAATTTGATTTCTCGGGCGTTTGGATTGAATAAAAGTTTCAGTTGCTTAATACTTTCTATTCCGTTGCTGCAGGTGGGTACCAGACACCAGTTATACCCTCGAGGACATTCTTTTGCCGGCCGAAACTTTGTTGCCCAGCTCCATCGACCAGCAGATCTTCTTCGACAGCCTGCGGACACATACCGGTTCGGAGGGGCACCCTAAGAGTCCCGCTCAGGTGTCCTCAGCCAATTCCACGCTGTCTTCAAGTCCCACTTGCGCCTACATTTTTTAAAAAAATGTACGCCCACTTTTTTGAGAATGGACGCATTCATTTTTGAAAAAGATGTACGCTCACATTTTTCAGAAAATGCACGCGTACATTTTTGAAAAAAATGCACGCCTTTATTTTCTAGAAAATGGACGCCTACATTTTGGGGAAAAATGCACGCGTACATTTTTGAGAACAATGTACGCTTCCATTTTTTAGAAAATGTACGCCTTCATTTTTGGGAAAAATGCACACGCACATTTGTGAGAAAAATGTACGCCTAAATTTTTTAGAAAAATGTACGCCAACATTTTTGGGAAAAATGCACGCGCACATTTTTTGAAAAAATGCGCGCTTACATTTTTCTAAAAATGCATGGTTATCTGCAATCCTCACCGGCAGTTCCTAAATCGATCCGCTTTGTGACCGTGGATCTGCAGAGTCCGCAGCCGACGCTCAGTGCGTGCGACAGTTAGCGTCGATAGTGATGCGGTGGCGTCGCGATCAGCAGCGCTCAAACGCCAGCGTTCGGTGATGAATTCTGCCAGCTCGGATGTTCCGCACGCTCTTCTGTTGGAGAGCCAGCAACCGGTATGCTGGTCGAACCGGATCCAAAGAGGATACGGGTGTTCATACCCAATATATATGGAACGTTTCGTACCAAAGAAAAAAACTGGAAAGTTTTTTTCCTTCTTGTAGTCACTGTAGTCATCCGTAGGCAACCTGTAGACTCCCTGTAGACAACCTGTATACATCCTAAGAAAACCTAAGAAACCAGGTGACTACAGTGTCTACAGTGGTGTCTACGGGCTGTCTACAGATGACTACCGCTGTATACAGGCAGAGTATCGAGTGAACCTAAGAAGGGCTGCCTGTATACAGCGGTAGACATCCGTAGACAACCTGTAGACACCGTTGTAGACACGCGGTATACATCCTAAGAAACCAGGTGGCTACCGATAGTTCTTACAGGGTGTCTACAGCATGTATACAGATGTCTACTGTGACTACAAGGAGCGAAAAAACGATTCACTTTTTTTCTTTGGTACGAAACGTTCCACAGGTGTATATCAGCCCGCGTCGCGTCCCAGCGCAGCAAGTGGTGGCGGCCGAGGTCGGCCGCCGCTGGACCATTTCATCGCGCCAGTTAGCCCTCATGTTGCTGTTCGTCGATGGCCACCGAAAGGTCACTATCACTTTTGGGGACGAGCACGGCAACGCGCAGACGGTGTGCGTGGAAAATTCTTCCCGATCATGAATGATCAGCACCGAGAATCACCCGCTCTTTCTGGTTTGGGACCTCTTTTAGGTGATCACTTGGTGCAGACTATTCACGACGAGTCTATTCTACATCTTATTAAACTAGTTGTTTTATACGGCGAGTGGTGAGCTAGCTTATTGAGTTATTAGTCAGAAAATAATCATGATCTCTAGCAAAAATGGTCAGATGCATTGCGTCAAACTATAATTATAGATTGTGTTTTATAGTCACGAGAAAATAGGATCTACAGACTGTACAATTGTTATGTTCTTTTACTTTTTGGCGCATGATGTCTCTCTCGCATTTAGAGTGTAGTAATTAGAAATTTCAATCTGTTGTAATTCAAATGGCGACAGTTGCTTTAGAACTGCCTAATGTGCAGTACATATTGTATTATCCAAGCCTTCCGTTACGCTCGAGTAATGGATACTGGATTCGCTCTATTTGTAAATGACAATTAACGAGTTAATTGATGTTAATGTTAGCTGGAGGACATGCGCTCCCGCTCTCCTACTGTACGTGACGTCTGCTTGGCCGTGTGTTGCGCGTGAGTCTGTTGGTGGCGCTGCGCGTCGCCGTGGCGCTTAGATCAAAGCGGCCGCCGTCATGCACGGGCATGCTGTTTGCACTTGGCACTGTTCGTGTGCTCGCATTGCATGGTTCTGCAGTTCTCATTGCTGTCTGTCTCTTCTCCTTCGATATCGTGTGCGCGCGAGTGATCTCTGTTCTGTTGTTGCACTTTCCTCGGACGGCATACAGGGCCCCCACCTCTGGTGCGCTTACTTCCGACTCCAAGCAGACCCCTAGCGGCGGTTGCGCTTTCCTCGGACAGCATACAAGGCCACCAACTTCGGCTGCGCCTTCCTCCGACGGCAAGCAGACCTCCAGTGGCGGTTGCACTTTCCTCGGACGGCATGCAAGGCCATCAACTCCGGTGTGCCTACCTCCGACGGCAAGCAGACCCCAGCGGGTGTTGCACTTTCCTCGGACGGCATACAGAACCCCCACCTCTGGTGCGCTTATTTCCGACTCCAAGCAGACCCCTAGCGGCGGTTGCGCTTTCCTCGGACAGCATACAAGGCCATCACCTTCGGTGCGCCTACCTCCGACAACAAGCAGACCCACCAGCGAGGCTGCAACTTCATCGGACGGTAGTCAGGTCCCTTAGCAAAGACGGCGCCCTCTTCCGACTCCAAGCAGACCCCTAGCGGCGGTTGCACCTTCCTCGGGCGGCATACTAGGCCATCACCTCCGGTGCGCCTACTCCGACGGCAAGCAGACCTCCAATGGCGGTAGCACCTTGCATGGAAAAACCTGAGCGGATCCTGACATACCGCGGATCCTGCCATACAACGTCGGGATCATCATGCTACACCGATCGTATCGGCAACGTACCGACGTCAGCCCTGGCGGCATAAAGATAGCCGAATTTTGCCTACTCCCAATGGAACTCCGAATCTTCACCAAATACTTCCGTAGAACCGTGCCAACTGCTGCATCCACCCCTATATTGGGTTGTTTGGGGTTTTGTTTGGGGCCTTCGGTTGCGCAGGGCACTGGTCGCTCTCTTCCGCCGACCCCCGGTCGGCCGGCTTCTCGCTGACCCACGGTCACCGCACACAGCCGATCACAGAGAGCACCAGCCTCCCAGCAGCCGGGGCTCCAGTGCCCCCAGTGGAGTCCGGAAGCGGTAACATTAAGTGCATATATGAACTAGCGTAGATAGTTTCGTGCACAATCGAGATGGGTCTTACCGTACTTCCTAGGAGGAGCTTCGGTGCCCAGGCGGTGTAGAAGCCCATCGTATAAAGCCCATCGACTGTCTCGTATAAACGGGAAACCGCTAGGTAAAGGCATAACCTGTACTACGGCAAATGCATCCAGGGGAGGGCATTTGATGTTGCCGTCATTGTAACGCTTGAGCACTTTGATATCGTTGTCACTACAGCAATCTTGTGTAAGTTATAAGCCTTACGTTACGATAATTATTACTCTGCATTATCTTACGCCGTCTGATTATTTCGCCGCTTACACTGGTCGGGCGGCCTATTACTGAATGGGCTGGAATCACATCTACCGCTTTTCCAGGAAGATTTATTAATAACGCATACGAGTACTGTGCCTAGCCTGAGACTAAAGGGAATCGATCTCTCTATTTAGCTTCAGGATGGGATGAAATAACATCAATTACACAGCCTTTCCGCCAATTCAAAGCCGATCTAACTAAATATTTGAAAAGGAAACAGGATTTAATAACGGGTAATGGATACTTCCCGTTTGACAAAACGGTTAGTACACATGCTTGTGTGTCGCGTGTGTAAGGCATTGATGGCAATCAATGCAGCCATTAGCAAAACGCATACACACTGTCAGTTTTGACATTATTCGCTGATAACCTGACAAATCGCACAGTGGCGTGATTTTTTATTTTTATATACACTTTTTTATATGCATCTTTATTCCGACCATTTTTCCCGATTTAAAAGATTTGCTCAAGAACCTGCAGAAAATTTCTGTAAATCGTGCTCCTGCATTTCAAAATGAACATATCCATGATTCAAGGTAATCTGTCCTACACCCTTCCCCATCGGCAGGTCGAATTGCGCGCCCTGGTATCCGTATTCACAATAGCCTCGATCGTTGGGGTTGTCTTATCGGCGACGCTGGTTTTCACGATTATTCTGCGCTCTCAGCTGCGCACTAGTGCCGGCATCCTGATCGCCCACCAGCAACTCTTGCACGTCCTTCAAACCGGCATCAGTAATCCGTTTTATATTATTACCGGTTGGGCGGTGTGGATGGGAATTTCTGTTACGGGCATCGACTGCACCGTTATGTATTTCTGCTGTCAGTTGATCATCTGCAGCGAAACGTGGAGTTCCTTGTTTTTAGCAATCAACCGCTTTGTCGCCATAGTTTACCCACATCGATACAATCGTATCTCCTCGAATCAGGCTACCGGCGGCTTTATAATCGCGGCGTGGAGTATCAGCGTCGCGATCAACATACCAGCGCTGCTGGGAATTGGAAGTTTGTTTGGAAACCGGGAGGTGGATTGCGGATATATCCGAATTACGAATCCTAACCTCTTGAATACTATTGGAACATTTGGTGTGTACTTTCCGCTGTCGCTGCAAGCTGTGGTATACGGGATTATTCTGGCTAATCATTACCGGAAAGACAAGGAAACGCAGGCTGCTGCCTCGCATAAAAAGCGCTTTGTATTGTTTCGTCTGCTGTTGGGTTCCTATTTATGGTATGTCGTGTGCTACCTGCCGTTCCTGATTGTGCTCTACGGTTTTCCTCTGTACTGGTTTGCCGATAAGATACGCGCCGGTTGGTTTATCGTGCTGCAGCAGATTGGTTACGCCGGAAGCCCGGTATGCTTAGCTTTTTCTCAGGCGTTTTATTATGTGGCAACTGTGGCATCCCTAATCAGCACTTTTTTATTGTGCAGGTGTTCTTGTTGCTGATGAACAAAGACGTTCGAAGAATCGCGAAAGAGGGTGTGGAGCGGTTGCTGTGCAAAAAGAATTCGGTGTCTGCTGCGCCGAGCTCCTGGATACGGTCCAGTCGTACATCTAAAGGGCATTAGGTCACGAACACGGTGCTGTCTCAGATAATATTATTTTTCTTAATTGAATACTAGTTCTGTGTCACCATGAATTTGTAGATCTTCAACAGTAACTTGTTATTTCACGCGTTGTTCAGCAGTCGAAAGTTCGAAACCGTACAGAGCCAATTAAACAGCAAAGGCTGGATAACACACGGGCTTACATCATAATTTACATGTTTTCCACATGAAGCCATTTCTAATCATGGAGTCTTTACGCAGATTGTCTCGCACAGCCAACGTCTTCTGTATAATATATAGAGTCTGCAAGTCTGTGCATTAAAGGCGGCAAAAATTCTGTTTTGCTACAATAAGTCACATGCATAAGGACATCTGCAAAGCGCAGCGGGTTGCCCAGCCTGGTACGCCATCATTTAGTAATTACCACTCTGGTCATCTCGATTATCCTGCAGAACTACGCGACTTCTTTAATTTATATTGTGGGCTGCAACGCTGTTTCTGTATCTGCTTCTCATACATATATGTGTTGCATATATTATTCAGCGCTGCTGGTTGCGTTACTTTAAAATGCTTCTTCCACACAATTTAATGTGATCCGCTTATGGTTAGATATTTTGTGAGCTTGTGCGAGTTAGCAGTGAGCAATACCGTCCCTGTAGTGTGGCCGCCGCAAGTTTCTATTAACATACGAGTATGATATGCAACAAAGCCAACAATGAAGAAATACACCACAGAAATAGGTGTCTCATCGTTTTAACATTACCCGACTTTATCTAAGCTGGCAGTGCAATCCTTTCTCCAACTTGTACAAGCAAATGCCATTTCATATTTCATTGAAAATTAATATACAGTTATTAGGATAAGTCGAAATTAGTTGAACAAGTTCAGATAGTTGACAATTACGGTTAACTTGTCGAGTATTGTGTAAACGATTCTTCTTGTAAGACAAGGTGCATTAACAGAAACATATTTTTGCTGTAAGCGGTCGAACTGGTAAAAGCTTATTTTGACGCTGATGCCACTGCCACTTATTGACGATTTATATATCTAAAGGATTACGAGTAATAAAAGAAATGCTGCTGCATATTGCATGCTGAAAATAATCATATTCAAAAAAATTAATCGGGAATAATCATAGGAATACTTCGCTTTTACTCGCGTTCCGACCGCTTACAGATTACACCTTCACGTTCCGTCCACCCACCATTTCAGTTTCCCTACATGGGCCCACATAAAAATTAATTTATAATGCTATACAGATAATTTTTAACCAGTAAGAACGTTTCTTTCAAAACCGAAGGCAACAAGGAACAACAAAAAAATTTTGTCACAAAACAAAGTTTCAAGAATAATTTAAAATCAACGAATCCATCCAAAAAGTTTGCTATATAAAAACGAGGAAGTATCACCAATTAAAATCACCGATTTAGTTAATAATCACAAGTTCCTTATTTGGTTTTAATTTACTAGAATTAATCACCGTAAAAATAAAATTTAACCAGCATGTGAAATACTCGTCACTTAATTTTCGAACTGTTCGGTTTCTTTGACTGGAGGTGTTTTTTGTTAGCCGATTTCGCTTTCACTGCGTCCAAAAAAACGTACTTTTTCAATTTTACGTGCTGGGGAAAACAAACTGCCAAACTGTCTTTACTGCTCCCTAATCGACCGGCTGTCGATGTCTCTACAGCGCTGGAAATTTGGAAAACCAATGCCCGGTTGACAGAACTGCCTTCACCAGATTTCCGAAAGTCACAGAAAGCATGGGACCTCCCGTTGTGTAACGTGTCTCTCGCTACATTGTTAGAAGTATTCCGCGACGATGAGGTTAACAAGGCGCGTCTACTCGCTCAGTCGAGACCGGAAGCCGGTATTTGGCTTAATGCATTGCCTTCGGCCCATATCGGCAACCTGCTCGACGATGACACGCTGAAAATCTCCGTCGGGCTGAGACTCGGCTCTGAGATCTGCGAACCGCACAACTGCGCGAAGTGTTACAAGCCTGTCGACTGCTACGCCCATCACGGTCTTTCGTGTTCTTTTTCCGCCGGCAGGCATCCACGGCATGGTGCTCTTAACAGTGTCGTATGCCGCGTATTCGTATCAGCCGGAATCCCTGCAAAACTGGAGCCTCGCGGCACTTCTAACACAAGTAGCAGACGCCCAGATGGATGCACAACATTTGCATGGCAGAGGGGCATGTGTCTAGCTTGGGATGTTACGTGTGTTGATACGGTTGCCGCTTCCCACATCAAGTCTACATCGGCAAACGCGGGATCGGCCGCCGTTCAGGCAGAGGAAAGGAAGACCAGTTTATATTCTTATTTGGTCGGTCGTTACATTTTCGCGCCCATCGCTTTTGAGACAATGGGCCCTTGGGGACCGTCGGCCATTGCCATCATCAAAGAACTGGGAAAGCGTTTACGGACCCATTCAGGAGAAGTCCGTTCTCACGAATTTCTTCGGCAGCGATTGTCTATGGAGATACAACGCGGCAACGCCGCCTCTGTTTTGGGCACCGCAGAGAGAGCGGATATGTTTACTGAGCTCTTGTTTATTTAACTGGCGTGAAGACCACAAGACCTCACGCGGTCTATTTCCCTACACACCTCATAATGACATCGCCATCGCTTGCTTCGCCATCAGTCCCCACGACGTCCAGCGAGAAGACTGGATCAGGGCTGATCAAGTTTGAACCCGCGAAGATGACATGGCGATGGTGGCAATTCCAATATCAGAATTTTGTGAAATTGCGCAAGGTCACCGACCCGGAGGATCAGAAGTACCTGCTTCTGGACTCCCTTGGAATTGACGCCGGGGAAATGCTGTTTTCAATGTGTTTGCCTACGAATCCCGACAATTTCACCACTTCGCAACTTGTGGACAAGCTAGAGCACGCATTTGTGAAGAAGACAAACGCTGCTACGGAGTGGGCCAACTACTTTAAACTCCAGCAGGAGCAGGGCGAGTCGCTGCTAGAATTTTCGAACCGGCTGCGCCGAAAGGCATTTCCCTGCGGATTCCCTGCGGACGTGCTAGAAAAGAATATGTCCGCTACTTTCCTCAACGGAATTTTGAGCGATACCACACGGCAACACCTCCAGTCCCAAACGTACAACACGTTGGAGAAAGCACTGGAGATTTGTGAAGAATATGAGCTGCGCAAGTCCAACAGGAAAGGTCAGACAGCGCCGGATGTGGCGCGCGTCGACAATGCCCGGAGTGGCGGTGGCGGCACCAGCAGAGACGCGGTCGTGGACGCGGCGGCATGCAGAACCGTAGCAGCCGTCCTGACCGAAAGCCAGCTCCGCGAGAGATGCGTGCGATGGATGTGGCTCCATGCAGCACGAGAGGTCACAGTGCTGGGCGAAAGATCTTGCCTGCAAAAGCTGCGGTAAAAAAGGGCACATCGCGAAGGTGTGTCGGAGCGGAAAGCAACCTGCAGCGCAGCAACGAAGAGATGGGCGGCGGACATTCCTGGTGGAGGAGGAATTCGACGTCCTGTCGGTAGACACGACGGGTGGGCGATCCATCCACGTACCACTCAAGCTGAATGGCGTGTCCGTGTCACCCGTACTGGACACGGGATCCAGTGTGACCATTTTTACGGCCGACACGTGGCGATCAATCGGATCCCCGAAGCTGTCACCGTATACGAACACTTTACGGAGCTTCACGGGGCACACGCTGAAGGTCATCGGTACTGCGACCGTGGAAGTCACCCACGCACGCACTCGCAAGGCACTGCCGATTGTGGTGGTGGCCACAGGGGGAAACGTGCTGGGTAGGGACTGGATCCGCGCCTTGGACCTCAGCCGACTGAGTTTGCGGGATCTGCAGTCGACCATGGTGTCCACAGTTTCCGGCACGCTCGAGGTGGAACATCTGCTGAAGAAACACAGCGCCGTTTTCCGGGACGAACTGGGCCATTGTAAACATTACAAGGCTCACCTGCACTTAAAGCCTGGCGCGATGCCTGTATTCCGGAAAGCCAGACCGGTCCCATTTGCTTTTCGCGAGGCACTGGAGCGCGACCTGGATCGCCTGGTGGAGAGGGGCATCCTTACACCAGTGGAACGGGCCGACTGGGCAGCTCCAGTGGTGACGGCGCAGAAACGGGCTGGAGACATCCGCACCTGTGCCGACCTTAGCACGGGACTCAACGACGCTCTCGACGTTCAGCAGTACCCACTGCCGACGCCCGATGAGCTGTTCGCGAAACTGAACGGAGGGAAGCAGTTCAGTACCTTGGACCTGGCGGAAGCGTACGCCCAGGTCGAGCTCGATGATGAGAGCAAGAACCTGGTAGTAATCAACACGCACAAGGGGTTGTTCCGGTACAACCGACTCCCCTTCGGCGTCGCCTGCGGTCCCTCCGTGTTCCAGCAGATCATGGAAAGTGTCCTCCAGGGATGCGAGGGAGTCGCCATTTACCTCGACGATATCATCGTCACCGGGGCGACGGAAGAGGAGCACCTCCGGAACCTGGAGAAGGTCCTCCAACGCCTGGAAGAGCACGGATTCACGCTAAAGCGCAGCAAATGCTTCTTCCTTCAGGACTCCGTGGAGTACCTGGGGTTCGTGGTGGACCACAGAGGTCGCCACATTTCCCAGGACCGCGTCAAGGCACTCCGCGACATGGCCCGTCCGACCAACATCAGCGAACTCCGAGCGTTCCTGGGTCTGGTCAACCATTACGGGAAGTTCGTTCGCGACCTGTCCGGGAAGTGTGCGCCGTTCCACAACCTCCTTAAGGCCGGAGTCCCCTGGTCCTGGTCCAAGAACTGCGAAACGCAGTTCCTGTCCTTAAAGGAGCAGATTGTCCGCGCGACGTTCCTGGTTCATTACGACCCGCGGATGCCGCTGGTCCTCGCCGCGGACGCGTCGCAATACGGCGTTGGCGCCGTGATCTGTCACCGTTTCCCGGACGGAACGGAACGGCCCATCGCACACGCCTCGAAGACGCTCACAGCCGCCGAGAAGAACTATGGCCAGATAGAAAAAGAGGCCCTGGCACTGGTGTTCGGGTGCCGGAAGTTCCATCAATATATCGCTGGGCGCGAGTTCACTTTGTGCACTGACCACAAACCGCTGCTCAGTGTGTTTGGTCAACGGAAAGGAGTGCCGGTGGTGACTGCAAACCGCCTCCAACGGTGGGCGCTGATGCTGATGGGATATTCGTTCAGCATCGAGTACCGCCGCACCGAGGAGTTTGGCCAAGCTGACGGACTGAGCCGCCTACCACTGCATTCGACGCAGCTGGATGGCCTGCCCGGACTGGGGATGGACAGTGTGGTCAACGCTGTCCACGTCGACAACGTGTCGCGTTTTCCGGTTTCGGTGGAAGCGATCGCCGAAGAAACGGCCAGAGATCCGGAAATGTCCACCGTATATGGATACGTCATGAACGGCTGGCCGTCGACGGTTGATGCCCTAGCGCGTCCCTACAAGCGACTTGAGCACGAGCTCGTCACGATCAACGGCTGCGTATGCTGGGGATCCCGGACCGTCGTGCCATCGAAGCACCGGCAGCAGATCCTGGATTACCTTCACAGCGCCCACATGGGGGCTGGTAAGATGAAGGGTGAAGCGCGAGGATACTGCTGGTGGCCTAACATGGACAAGGACATCGAACGAATGTCCAGTGAATGCCGAATTTGCACTGAACGCGCAAAAGAAACGGCCAAAGTCCCGCTGTCGCAGTGGGAAGTGCCGGATGCACCTTGGAAGCGGCTCCACATGGACTTCGCCGGTCCATTTCACAGCACAATGCTGCTAGTGATTGTTGACGCCATGTCGAAGTGGCCGGAGGTGATCCAGATGAAACACGCCACGTCCGACGGCGTTCTGGAGGCCCTCCTGAACCTGTTCAGCCGTTACGGAGCCTGCACCGAAATCGTCACCGATAACGGTACGCAGTTCACCTCGCAAGAGTTTGCCGATTTCTGCACGGTTCACGGCATCCGACATCTTCGGACACCACCTGGCCACCCGCAGTCGAACGGCCAGGCGGAGCGCTACGTTCAAACCTGTAAGGACGGAATCAGCAAGCTGATGGCCGACCGGAAGCCATTGCCCACAGCTCTGCGGGAATTCCTGTTCCGGTACCGCAACGCGCCACAGGCCACAACTGGCAAGTCGCCAGCGGAATTGTTTCTGAGCCGCAAACTGCGTGGTCAGCTGGACTTGCTGGTGCCGGTGCTGATGACAACAATAGAGCGTAACCGGAAGCGTTACCAGCAAAATTTCGACCAACGGACACAGGAGAAGCATTTCCAAGTTGGCGATTACCTAATGGTACGTGATTACCGTCCGAACCGCGCAGTGGACTGGCAGCGTGGACAGCTGGTCAAACGTGAAGGTACCCGCATCTGGGTTGTCCTGGTCAACGGAATTGACCTGCGAAGGCACGAAAATCAGATGCGACCGAGGCAATGGCTGCACCCAGACGAGCGTGCACTACCGAATCCGCCAGCTGCACTTGTCGCACCTGCCGCACCAAAGACACCGGATGTACCGAAAGTACCAGTCGCATCGCCAGTGCAGACGGCTGCACTGCCTAACGATGCCTTTCCGGAAGCGGTCACAAAGCAGGATTCTGGTGGACAGATCGGTACTGGTAAAGCACCTGAACTTACATTACCAAATGTTGATAGCGCCAAACCAGTGAAGCCAGCGAATGTGAAGAATGCTAAGAAAACGCCACGCGTTCCGGAAGCGATAACTGATACCAGTTCTCAACTGAAGCCACCGGAACCAGAAGTGCGACGAAGCGGAAGAGACAGAAAAGAACCAGATCGACTAATCGCGGATCCGAAATTCGGACGCTAGCTTTGTTTTGGCTTTAGTTGAGTGGGTTTCCCCACTGGGGGAGGTGTCAGATATGTGCAGTGTATACACATGACCTTTTGCATAGCAACATAGAAGTTGCCTGTCATTGTTGTGCTTTGCTGACATTCAGTCAGCGACCTGCGAGTTCGATAATAAATATACATTATTATCACGTCACGACATGTTTCTTAAACCATGTACTCGTTTGGTTTGAATTAAAACTATGTAAAACAAACTGAACTGTGCAGTTAGCTGTTAATAACCACGTAGCCGCTCAATGCAGGGGCTACTAATGCAATAGGGTGGACGGAACGCGAAGGTGTAATCTGTAAGCGGTCGGAACGCGAGTAAAAGCGAAGTATAAATAAAACGGCTAGACGACGGAGCTAAATTTCAAAAGATAAAAAAATAATCAAAATAATCATGAGAAAATGATCATGGGAATTCTTGGCACCAACCAGGTCAATGGCACACAATCACGCGCCTGACTTCTAATGGATTATCATAACCGGGAATGAGCGTGCAGCATTCGTTCACCTAATAACTCGTGCACAATAGTCCTTTTGGGACGGATGCGGATTTTCTAAAGATTAGATCAGCGGAAGTTGCCATCCTCACCGAAAGCCGAAGCCTAATTCCTGGATGATGTTTTTGGCTCCCACGCAGAAGATGGGCATCCAGGCGCTCCTTTTCATCAAGGACAAAAAGCCGGAAAATTCAAAGTGTAGAGTCAACGGCCATGAAGATTTGAAAAATCCCTTAAATACCGTCGCATAGCTGATGCGGCGGGCAGAATCATTTTCAACTGCAGAATAAAATGCGATCAGCAGTCGCCATGCTGACCTACATATTCAACATATCGCAGTCTGTGATTCCGTCAAATATTTCTGGGAAACCTTTGGCTATTTCAAGTGTGTTCCGTTCATCAACCAACTTGACTTGGCTTGGATTTTCAGCAATATTCTGGATTTTCGCATCTTGCTGTAACTTGTACGAAATCGTACTTTTCTTAAGGCGTCGTGGTAAATATTTCCCGGGATCTATTCTGACCTTTGCCTTAATTTCTGTGCATTTTGTGGCATCGGTTATCTGTATTCCTGGTCTTTTTGGTTACACCGTTGCCTTCGATGTGTGGGTGTTTGGCGATACCAGCTGCATTATTTGGCAATATTTTGACTGGGTTATTAATCCTGTGACAACTGTATTAATTGCCGTAATCCATGCCAGCTCTATTCTTCGATTGTGCTATCCAGAATTGCAGCTGTCTTGGGCGAAAGAAATTATACTGGTACTGATTATTTTATTTATAAGCCATTTATCATTTTTGCCAGTTTACTGGACGCGTCAGTTTTCGCCCTGGTGGAACGGGAATCCGTTGCGATCCTGCGCGATGTCGACGTACCCGGACGTTGCCGGCTGGTCAGCGTATTACGTTCTCGGTGTGTATGTGCCGACGGTTGTCATTGCGGTGTGTGACGTGATTATTGCCTACAGTGGAATGACGGCAAGAAGTTCTGATATACTGAAAATCAAAGGTTTCTCCAGTGAAACGAATCTCGTGGAAATATCGCTGCCTAGCACGGTTTCATGGGGTCGAACCGTCTCAGTGGACAGCGAGTGTCATTTGCAGGTTAATGTTTCGACGGGCAGCCGAGTAAACCTGGTTCCGGTGGGAATACTGGGAATTATCTATCTGATTTTATGGTTGCCGTATCACGTGTACAGCGCCCTGGAAATGTATCTTAATGTGCAGATTTACTGGGCGGATGTGTCTACGTACTGGCTCAGTTATACGTCACTGATAATTCATCCGTTTATTTTGAAAAAGCTATGAAAAGTCTATTTTCTGGTTGCTTTTTAGTACTGTATGTCTTATGGGTGGAAATGAAAATAAAGTGAATCCCATGACAAAAACTGATGTTTTATTTTAAACTGTTGGGCTAAACCATAGCAGTACTATAAGTACTATTGACTATTAAGGCAGCAAAGCGAATTCGGTTGCGCAATACTAAGGCAAGCCGTTGTGTATATGCCAGATACTTCTATTGGTGGTATGTAAGTTTTTGCCTTAATAGTATAGTACTGTCATGGCTAAACCAATATAATGTGCGTAATATTGCGTGTTCGTTATCGCGTTCCCCCATATTTTACATCTACTCATCAATACTATTTAGGGAAACCTATCCTGCCAAACAAACAAATTATCTACTGTTGCACTGACGCATTTTAATTGGAAAGCGGCGCGTCATATAAGGCTTTTCGTATGGTGTACAGATAATGATTGTAATCGTCTTTAATAAACGTTGATGTTCTGCACTGCATATGAATTCTGCGGAAATGGTAGCCGCCAAAAGTTTTTATATCTCTTGATGAATAACAAATAATTGGTAATGATGTAATTCAAAGTATCTGCTAAGCGCGGCACCCTTTACAGCAGCGAACAATAAAACGAGTGATGGGCAAACCAAGACATATACCTAGATATATAGAACGATGCAGTACATGTACCCTGGGCTACGACAAAAACATCAATTAAATTATCAAACACTGTATAATAGTACACAACAGTTTATCGTTAAAAAAAGTCACCGAAATACGTCTGAGATTACAAAATTAATTTGAATAAAGTCATCCGTAATGTCCTTAAATGACATGTAGAAGTATGCCTTATATGTAACGTAAACGAAACAACATCCCGACTGCAAAAACAAAATGTATAAAAATTCACAACGCTCGCATCGTTAGTCCTGTCGAATCAGCCGTGGACGATAGTGCTTTCGAACTAGGTGCAATCACGTTATTTTCACACATATTCCGTCGTAGTAACCCGACACCTTCTTTTGCATTCTTCATGACGTCTTTATTCATCAGCAGTAGAAAAACCTATTTATACAAACAAAGTTTCTTAAAGAAACTTTAGCCAGAAGTCAAAATACTTACCGGACTTCCAGCGTATCCGATCTCTTGCAAAACCATGAACCAGCCCGCGCGTAGCTTATCCGCGAACCAAAACCGGGGAAATCCGTAAATTGTCACCATGAAGGGTATATAGCAAGCGACATACCACAAATACGAACCGAAAAGCAACCGGAACAGTTTAAACCGTTTTTTCTGCACCATGGTTATTCGACTTTCTTCTTCTTTTTGGCGATGGTTGATTACAATCGCGGCATACAGGAGCGCTTGCACTGCTAGCGGAAACCATATCCCCACAACGCCGTGCATGACGACCATGTTGTGATCGGTTACGCGGATGTATCCACAATCAAACTGTCGAAAACCAAAGTAACTCCCAATGCCCAGGAGCGCTGGGATTTCGATAGCGGCACTGATACACCACGAGGCCGTAATGAAACCGGCAACGGCCGCATTCGAAGAGATGAGACGATATTGGTGCGGGTAGATGATCGCGACAAATCGGTTGACGGCAAGAAATACGGAGCTCCATGTCTCCACGCAGATAAACAGTTGACAGAAGAAGTGCATCGCGGTACAGTTAATTCCAGTGATGGACACGCCACCCAGCCATACCACCCACCCTACAACAATGTAGAAGGGATTGCCGATCCCAGTTTGTAGGACATTCAGCAGCTGTTGGTGGGCGATTAAGATCCCGGAACCGGTGCGGAGATTCGGGCGCATGATGATCGTCAAAAACAGGGATGTGGATAGCAACACGCCGGTGGCGCCGGCAAAGGTGAACACCGACACCAGCGCGATAAGTTCTGTGCGGCGGTTCGGGAAAGATTGGGATAGGTTGCCTTGAATTATTGAGATATTCATATTGTGCTTCGGAAGAAAAAAACGTTACGACTTTACTAACGTTTTAACGCAATATGTCACTAGACACACTGCGTTAACGGCATTAATGAGCAATCCCATGAAATTAAATCCAGGCAAACCGAGCTCGTGAAGTGTGTTATCACATCCGGTGTTGGCTTGTTTGTTATCCTGGCTAGATCAGTCCGCAGCCATATATATGCCGTGTACCATTAGCTGTAATACATCGCCAACTGTCACTTGCAGACGTGTTTCGATGATCCACTTTACAGCTGAAATACGTTTCAGGAAAAAAATAATTCTGCATGTCCCGCGGCTTTAAGCTTATAATTAATACTGCAATCACGAGATAGCAATTAGCAATAGGATCAAGCAATACGATCACGATAATCTGACCTCTTGGTAAACGTTAATAGGATCAGTCGAAGATCAGAATTAGCAATGAAACGGCAGTAATTAGCAATAGGATCACGATAATCTGACCTCTTGGTAAACGTTTACCCGTATAAGTCGAAGATCAGAATTAGCAATGAAACGCCAGTGTGAAAGGATATTGTAAAATTGCGTGTTTATTCCTCACAATGTCTCACTCCCTCACGTGTTTATTCCTCACAAGGTCATCAGAGGTATGCGGCAGCCTTGGATACAAATGCAGCCAGTGGGCGTGGCAATGTTTTCATCTGACCCGCGGGAGGACTTTTATCGGTAAATTAGGATACTTCTGGGAAGGCAAGCACAGTCGGCTTGAAGGACGCTTTACAATTCCCGCTGCAGAGGCTGAATCTCACAGGTATGTTATTGACGGCAGCGTTACCGGTCGGCGGCGGTCGCTTACATACTGTACTGCACATAGTGGCTGCAACCAGCTAACTTGATGCTAAATAACACATAAGTACATCATATGACGGTAGCAATTCAATAGTACTGTAACTGTTATTAAATATAAATTTGTATTTGTGCATTAAAATGCATGTGCTGTGCTTTGTAGAAGTCCAAGTAGCTGTGCGTACGTCTGCACCGTATAGATTTTGGTATGGATGAATCGTAGGTATGAAAAAAGGCAACAATTACCAAACTCAAGAAACGGGAATCAGAAATTTGGAAGAAGGAACAGATCTTCGATACGCGAAACAAAATACAACAGCTAATTCAGTATATAGCTCTAGTACCCTGCATACGGGAACAGTATTAATATCAAAACATGAAGTGAAGAAGCCACAGGGTTAGATAACCTTAAATACATTTACATGTATTTTAGCGTGAAACTGCATTGTAGCAGTGTTATGTTATGCTTTCGGTGCCGTCCAATCGGCAAGCGGCGTAATATGAAGCTTCCGATGACCGTACCCTTTCGTGGTAAATAGTTTATCAGTATCTGGCACTGTACGTGCGAATGCTTGATGTCCGTCTTGCGAAACTTCCACAATTTGTTATATACTATGATTACTTAACGTAAAACAAATAGTGGTCGTCCAGCATGTTTTGTTTATGGATTTAATAAGCGTTTGCCAAATCGTGTGCTCGTGCATTGAGATCATCATTTGTTCCATAGCAAAACGTCGACAATAATGTATAATTGCAAAAGGCAAAGTAAGTTGTCCTTGAGAGTATTGCAGAGCCATGCAACAACGGACCAAAATAATTAATTTAACCAGACTTTAACAAATCAGGTTTTAACAAATCAGTCTCTGAAAAATATTTAAATTCTATAGAACTGATGGTGATCTTGCCGAATCCGCCACGGATGATGGTACTTTTGATTTCGAGCTGGGTCCAATCGAACTCATTTCACACATACTGCGTCTTATCACCCCGATCCCTTCTCTGGCGCTTTTCATGACGTCTTTGTTCATCAAAAGGAGAAAAACCTGTAAGAAAATATCAGTTTTTGATAAGGAGACGCTTGGTGTGGCTTAAGATTTTCATACCGGACTTCCAGCGTATCCGATTTCCTGCATTGTCAAAAACCAGCCGGCACGCAACTTATCAGCGAAGAAAAAACGGGGTAATCCATAGATCGTCACCATGAATGGCAAGTAGCAGGCAACATACCACAAATAAGAGCTGAACAACAACCGAAACAATTCAAACCGTTTTTTCTGCACCCTGGTGACTCGTCCGCCCTGATCTTTTTGGCGATGATTGATAAGAATAGCAGCATAAAGGAACGCTTGCAGCCCCAACGGAAAATAGATCCCCACAACACCATGCATGGCGACAATATTGTGATCGGTTACGCGGATATATCCACAGTCAAACTGCCGCATCCCGAAATAACTCCCGATTCCCAGGAGCGCTGGGATTTCAATAGCGGCACTGATGCACCACGCGGCCACTATAAACCCGGCAACGGCAGCATTCGATGAAATGTGCCGGTATTGGTGCGGGTAGATTAGCGCGACGAAGCGGTTAACCGCCAGGAACACCGAGCTCCATGTCTCCACGCAAATGAACACTTGACAGAAGAAGTGCGCAATGGTGCAGTCGATCCCGGTGATGGAGACACCGCCCAGCCACACGGCCCACCCAACGACAATGTAGAAGGGATTGCTGACCCCGGTTTGTAGAACATGCAGCAGCTGTTGATGGGCGATGAGGATTCCGGAACCTGTGCGCAATTTCGGGCGCGTTACGATGGTCAAAACCAGTGAGGATGATAAAACGACGCCGGTGACACCGGCGACGGTGAAAACCGACACCAGCGTTACCAGTTCCGGTCGACGGCTTCGGAAAGATTGGGAGAGATTGGCCTGGATTGCTGAGATATTCATGTTGTCGAGCCAGAGCCAGGAGATCAGGGGCTACATATTATATCTTAATACCATATTTTTCGCCACAGTCATTGCATTTGTGCTCTGACAGATGGCTGAGTATTCTGGCGACAATGAATGTGGCCAAGCGGAACTTCCATCATGCCATTACTGCAAACGGCACTGGAATATCACGATAAATCCGTTCTAGCAGCAGTAAGTCAAATCCTTCATTCCCTGATTCTTGCCAGCAAGTGGCGGCACATCTTAAAGTTGAATCAATTTGCTATAGTACTTGAAAACGTTTCCTTTTACATGCTCATGTTAAGCCGCAATTCTTTGCATACTTCGTGACTTCATGTACATTTGCGCGTGAACGGTGCAGACCAGATTAAACAATAAAACGGTAGCGCTACTGGAAAATTGCGTGTTTACCATATCCAGATTCCTCACTGTATAATCAGGGGAATGCGCCAACCTTTGGCCATTACATGCAGTCGGTTCTGGTTGATACAGCTTCCCTGCTTGCTGTAATACAACCCCGGCGAGGATATTTACTTGAGCATATTTATTACGGGAAGCCACACACGGCAGCTTCCAATTAGACGCCGGACACACGTCGAAGTCATCACTGCGTTGCGCTGTACATGGTTTCAGTTGAAAATTGGCGGTGATTGCCTTAATATGGAGCTTGTTGACGGTTGCAGTATATTAGGCAGCGATTCCGGTGGCCTACGTACACTGCATTCTTTATTGATATTTTACACGTGCTGCGAACGTGCAACGACGGCACAGCCGGTGTTGCACATACCTAGCTACCTAGTTATTATGTGCACATTCCTATAGCTTCCGATCATATGATTAACCGTGCAAGACTGCTTATCAACGGCCTTCTTAATTGGCATTATTAATGTATCTGTGCCAACAGATGTTCGGCTTGCTCGGTTACAAACTTAACGCCGGTTGTTAACCATAGAACTAGCAATTTTCCGGTGTCACTGGGAAATGGTGAAGTGGCATAAGCATAACAGTGGCATAAGCTGTAGCGTGTCCCATGGAAATGCTGGATTACTGAGACCGGAAAGGCGCGATATGGCATAGATTCAACTGAGCCCACACCGCACAATTAACCTCAGCGGTGTGTTGTCTCTGTCCTTGTCGAAAAGGTCAAAAACGTTGTTCTTCTCAGTTTCGGGACGATGTTCGAAACAGCTATGGTTCTGTGTGTTGGTTTATGCCGAGTAACTGTGTGATGCGCCGTGCTCCTCGAAATCAATGTCCGGGACATCATGTACAACTGTACATACAACGTTAAGTATGGTTTATCTTGCCAGTATAGTTAGGGAAAAAGTCAATTTAATACGTATATGAGCTAAGACGGGCTAATTATAAGATAACTTTAGGAAGTATGTAAGATTACGCATTTACGCTGGTTCCAAGTTGTTATATAACTTGCTGTTTTATGCAGTGATGCAGTATACGGCAGGCCATCTTGTCCGGACCGGGCCCAACCAATGGGCCGGGCCCAACCAATGCTAGCCAGTTTCATTTTCTAGCATATCCGGCTGGCGCCGACCGATTAATATGCATGATTTTCATAACAGCGAAACTAATGCCTCGACTGCTGATATTTTCTACCTTTAAATCAACGAATATCGCAAGTCAAAGAAAGATGGGAACTGTATTTCACAGTGGAATTCGCAAATTGAGAGGAAGAGTTTACAAGCTTCTCGAGGGATTAAGGGCGTAAAGGTACAGGCAGTACACACTACGCTCAACACTGGCATTAGAACGAGGCCACTACACAACACTACAGTTATCGCAATATTAATAATTTTTTTGCATACCTGCAATATTATGATTTCAAGTTCTGAAGGAAGTACAATGTTATGATTGACACAACAATGAAAATTTGGTAAATATAGATACATATAGATAGATATTTGTAAATACTCGTACATGTACATAGATATTTGATGTGCACCAGACATGCCTGATTCGTGAAATGCGTAAAAAATGTGACTTGGCGTGGCGTGGTATGGAGGCGAGCGTAACCCACAAATGTGCATGTTTCGCTGCCTTTATGCGTCCATAATTTCTTGACGAACTTGTACTTGACATGTTTTACATCGTTTACCGGAGGTACGTATATTGAAATTGTTTCCACGGAATAAATGAGGACGAACTGATGCTCCTGTGCTATGGCATTAGTGTAACCCGACCGGATACACTCATGTGCCATGTCGTTCTCCCTTGGCGTTGCCGGCTTATAAGGACATTAATTCAATCAATGTCAATTACTGACATAAAGCTTGCGCTTTGAATAGGAATGGATATATTTCCTGATGAAGTGATCTCAGGCGTGGGATGTGCGCATTGTGTACTAATGAAGGAAAACAAATGGTAGTAAATAGTTAAATTAATAGTAATTTCCATAGTAGCTATTTACCTTGGAAGGGTGAGCAGGGACGTACTAATCAATCACTTTTATTCATAAATCTACGAGTGGACGTGTCAGCGTCTCAAGGCTTAATATGCCCTTTCGGCTTCTGTATACGATGGACCATGTTCTAATAACACAAAACCGGCTCACCGGCTGATCGGCTTAAGTAAACCCAGATAAGTGAATGAAAGAGTAAATTTAATAAACGAATTGCCATAGCAACTAGGCAGAAGTACGATACTCTGTACTGTCCGCCACGAAAAATGCAACACGTAAATGAATTAACGGACGGAGAGCACTTCATCCCGTCTCACTACTACAGCACCGGATGTAATCGCTCATAGTAAATCAATATCCGCGTTCTTTAACTCAGTGAGCCTCGCCTTTTTCGAGTTTTCGTCGTACAAGTACTATGCATTCCCATTCAGCGTACGCAGCGCTACGTATTAAATAAAATTTGCTGTAGTAGATTTGTCTCATTAATTTTATTGTCTTCTCTGCCACATCGTAAATCGCCGAATATCAACGTTTCTATTCAGGCAAATCTGTCGCAAACCTTCTCCAACCGCCGCACTAAGCTGGTGGCGCTACTGGCGGTTTTCACAGTGGCCGGCGCTACCGGGATAGTTCTATCCACTATCCTCGTGTTGACCATTTTAATGCGCACGCATCTGCGCACGGGCTCCGGTATCCTCATTGTCAACCAGCAACTGCTGCACGTCCTGCAGACCGGATTCAGCAATCCTTTCTATACAGTGACTGGTTGGGGGTGTTCCTGGGTGGTTTCCCTGTCACCCTCGACTGCCACTTGGCGAATTTCTCCTCTCAGATATTTTAATTCAATTTATTTGGCATTAGCCATCAAAGGAATAGAAGAAAGTGGTATGTCCATCACAAGGGACAGCTGGCGTTTAGGTCCAGTCACAACGGGTTCCGCTGACTTTACTCACCAACTACGGATGGAGTATGAACGCATTAACCATTAACCAACAGCTGCGCTACAGTCAACCGTGGACAACTGCAGCATGTACTGGTTAACCGCTGTGACGCAGCTATTAACGGCACTGGCCACTGAGCAATCGAACGTAGATAGTTGGACTGCGCCACTGCGTTATGGTAGACACTCGATAGGTCGCATTGGCAAAATGAATTTCCTATTGACTCGAATAATCACTTTCCCTAAGTACATAAAAATACATAGAAATGCAGTACATAAAATACAGTAAATAAAATGTACATAAAAATGATTGAATTTTAAATCCTCCAGTATTCATCTGCGCCGAAACCTACCCGGTAGAGCTCTTTCTTTCTGGGCGTTAACCGTTTTATCGCTCTAATCTACCCGCATCAATACGGCAGAGTCTCTTCAAAAGCGGCCGTGGCCGGCTTCATTGCCGCCGCATGGTGCATCAGTGTCAACACTGATATCCCGGGTGTACTTGCAGAAAGAGCTGAGTTCGGGTTTCGTCCGCGGGAGGGAGATTGTGGCTATTTGCGCAGCGAGGATCACCGCAGGATCGTCATGCATGGCATCTTGGGTTGCTACCTTCCGTTGGAGGCGCAAGCGTTTCTGTATTGGATCATTCTGGTTAACTATAATCGAAAAAATTAGGACAGTCGAACCGCCGCTCTACAGAAGAAACGCTTCGATTTGTTTCGTCTGCTGTTTGGTTCGTACGTATGGCACAAGGTCCGTTATCTGCCGTTCCTGGTGTCCATCTACGTATTTCCCACTTGGTTCTTTGCGGGCAAGATGCGCATCGGATGGTTTATCGGATGGTTTTCCGCAAGAAATCGGCTATGGGGGCAGTCCGGTAAGTTGCATACCTTCATTTAAAGTAGCTGTTGTATTCTGTACTATAAATCTCAGGTATCAACTGCAGGTACATTAAAGTTCTCAGGTGTCGCATAAAATACTTTTCATCAACTTAATTTGTTTTTTGATAGGTTTTTCTCCTTCTAATGCACAAAGAAGTTGTGGCAAGCGCCAAACAAAGCGTGCGATCAATAAAGCAGACCTGCTGCAAAACCCAACTCGGTCATGCCCGACGGAAAAAAACCCCGCATCCACTTCTGATCGGACACAACCAACTGCACTGACTCTGAGAACTTTGTGACGGCTGTGTTTGTTTGGAAATCAGCCATCGTAGATTTCTTTTTCATCGACTGTAAAGACTTTATTCCATGTGGACTCGTTGTTTTTTCTTTATGGTGGTTCGATTTCATGTGGTTGCATAGCTGCACAATGCAAATGCACAAAAGCGCATATGTCCTTTTAGAGAAGGTATCAATAACCACTGGCGAACCCTATCTAGAAAAACCTGATCATTCTGATCATTGTGTAATAAGCAGAAAGGTATCAGGTATCATATCACATCAGAAAGGCAGAAAGATGTCGTATTATGAGAGGTGGCGAGCACAGAAACAGTTACAAAAATAAATTAGTCAAACAGTTAATACTAATTCAATAGAAAAGCGGCATCTCTAAATGCGACAGTTTCCTGTCGCGTCCCACGATTCGCTACCAACGCACTGGCTGCATACAAACATGCCGTTAGGATCCACCGTCTTCTTAATTTGCTGCAGCCGTGGATAATTACTGCCCCAGAACGCCTGCTGCCAATTCGGCTCCGTCGTGGACGCTTCGTTGAAGTACGCTCCGGAATCGGGGTACGCATCCCGCCATACTTGGGTCCCGCTTTCCAGGAGCCCCTTTACAAACGCAATATCCTCTTCGGAGGTACTGCCGTCCCATCCGGTCACCAGGATGGCGTGCCAGCCGGATTTCCGCCATGCCGGAGTTACGGAAGTGTCTGCGGCGTGCGGATTGTTGCGGACGCCGTTGCCGTTAATATGCAGGAAACCGAATGTGGCAAGCTGGCCCAGTTTGGATGCACCTGCGAGAATGGTCTGCGCGGTGGTACGGGACTGTACAAGAGAAGTGACTGGGATCAGTCGGCTCCCGAGGGCCACGCGCGATCCAGCGTAGAAACCGTCGTAAATGCCGGTGGTATCGCTCCATGAGCGCCAATCCTGCCGCAGAAACCACGAAACCGGTTTAACAGTAAGACCCCTCGCCACGCACTTTAAATACGCTCTATAAGATAAAGTGTTGGAAGTTCTGTAAAACGGCATCTGCCAATGGGACAGCGCATAATATTACAGAGCGTTACAGAGTAACGCGACCACAAACCAAAACCTTGCAAGTTCTTCAAAACTCGAATCTATACTGGAATTTATTTTCACAACAATTTTCCAACTGCCAACGTGCTGACAATCCACCGGTAAGGGGGTGGGATCAAAACGTTACAGAACTTCCGGCACTTTATGGTACAGAACGCTTTTAAAGTGCGCAGCGAGAGGGCCTATTACTGCCAAATCAATGAAACGTAGAGCAGAGAAAGAAATACTGGTACGAAAACATACCTGCCGCAGAAAGACGTCTGCGCACTGCACAATGCATTTCACAATGCAACACCCAGTTTAACTACTACTGTATTTAGTGAAAGACACTGTCCGAACTGCACACGGTGGCAGTTTCGGCATCAGACTGTTTCACAAAATGTCGTTAGGAAACGACCTGTATCAGTCCATTTAAAAACGCTTTTCAAATTTTAGTTCAAACCTTGCGGGGTTGCTGAAACCCGACCCTGGAAGTAAAAATTGAATGGGTAGCACTGCTCGTACAGAATGACATAGAACTGCAGTATATCGGTAGACCTTTTTGCTCAGTCTACCGTCCTCGCCCAGAAGCTTGTTCAACGTAACCCCCAATTAACGACTGTATCTAGCATTGCGAAGCGCCGCGTTATATAGGCCGGTATTCCCTTAGGAACCTATTTTGCGCCCTGTTCTTTCCAGCAGATACCCACGGTCGTATGCATGCACTGAACAACACAACACATTGTTACTACTGTATACGTACCTCTAAACGGTCGTAATGTTTATAGTAAGTGCCGACGTTGGCAAACGGTCGAGCTAGGACTCTCGATGCCACTTCCATATCGGTAAATTCCTTCAGCAACTGGTCGAAAGGCGGCGACGCTCTTGTGCTCCCCGCATCCGCCAGTTTCAAGAACATGAAGCTGAAACCGAAGGCGGGGTTGTAGAAATGGTAGCCGCCCCACCCAGCGGCATCAAAGCTGCGGTATACCGCGCGAAGATTTCGACCAGATCTTCCAGCACTTGATTACTCAACACACCGCTTCCGTTCGTCGCTGTGATGATCAGCGAATATGTGTCGAATCCGTTGGGGCCGGATGCAGCTGGTACGTAATGGAGGTCACGACACCGAAAGTCCCGCCGCCACCGCCGCGAAGTGCCCAGAAAAGATCCTTGTTCTGGCAAGAGTTGGCGGTGAGCAACTGCCCGTCGGCGGTGACGACGGTCATCTCGAGAACATTGTCCACCGCCAGACCAAACACCGTGGAGAGGATGCTGTGCCCACCGCCCAGGGTGTAGCCACCAGCGGCGCCAATGTCTATGCAGTAGCCGGCAACAATACAGTACTTTCCGTTGAAATCTTGGTCGACCTGAATTCAGTAATGGTATTAAAAATTTAAAAATTGAACCAATTTATTATTGCGGCTACACATGGCAATGGCAGAGGGCGGTACCTTGATGGTTGTGCTGGACTTTTTCGCACACTTTTTATCATAATTTTCAGTTTTATCCTTTATAAAGAATTTTGTTAATATTTATAAAATTTGAGGTAGGTAAATACTAAATTTTTTATCACGTATTTACTATAATTATTTCTAATTAAATTATGTTCAGTATGTGTAAAATTTTAAATAATACACAAATACTGAACATAATTTAATTAGAAATAATTATAGTAAATACGTGATAAAAAATTTAGGTAAATACTAAATTTTTTATCACGTATTTACTATAATTATTTCTAATTAAATTATGTTCAGTATTTGTGTATCATTTAAAATTTACAACAATATTTTAGTAAAATTTTATTTTGCTCAGCGTATGCTTATACTTATTATTTGCACTGGTTTACTGCACGCTTTACCAATTAAAGTACCTTTGGATAAACATCGTCCCAAGTCTTTCCACCGGTGACCGTAATAACCGGATCCACAGTTTGACTGCTGGCATCACATCCACTAGGCGTAAAGGTCATCTTCGTCTCCAGTTGTCCCTGGAAGTTGTGCAGCCAGATCAGCAGTGCGCCGGGTGCGGTGCTACGTCCGAAATAATCGTGTCCGGTACTCTTAATGACCACCCGCAGATTGTGCTGACTGGCAAAGGCCAATGCTTTCTGGATATCATCGGGAACATGGACATCTACGGCAAAGGCGGGCGTACGGCCAAACTGGCACTGCATGTTCCATTCATTAGCGCCTTCGAGTGTGCAGCGTTGATTGCCGAGATCTTCCCAGTTGAAGGCTTGCATGCTGCCGGCCTTACCGATCAGGAAACCCGGGCGGTTGTAATATTTTTGGATCTGCTGGCAGTCTCGGGAATCGTATCCGGCGCCGGCATAACAGGGATATGCTGCATAACCGCAAGGTTATATTCATTTAATTTCAAGCGGTCATCATGGACTATCCTGCAACAACAACAACGGTCATCATGGACTATCCTGCAACAAAACGACTAAAGGACGATGGGCGAGACATAAAGAAATGAACAGCATCGCGAAAAACTGTTGTGAAAGCGCTGGTTTTCCTTGTGAGATCGAACCGAACGGCTTGTCATCAACCACCGCAAAAAGACCGGACGGGATGACACTGATACCAGTTAGACAAGGAAAACCGATCGTTTGGGATGTAACCAGCTGGTGTACGGTTGCTGACTCTCATGTCACTGGAAGCTCCAAGAAATGTGGCAGCGTAGCCCAGCTGGCTGAAACTGCGAAGCGTGGAAAGTATTCGTTTTTGGAATACGGATATCTTTTCTACCCTCTAGTAATGGAAACCCTTGGAGTATTTGGTCCGGCTTTAAGTGAATTTTTACATTTTATGGGTCGCAAAATTCGGGATTTGACAGGAGAAGCGCGTTCTACCGCTTTCCTTAAGCAGCGATTCAGCCTTGCTGTTGTCAAAGGAAATGCTACGGCTGTTTTGAGTACGTTACCTTTTAACCCGAGGGAGGACCGGGAATTTGGTTGTTTTTTTAATGTTTAAATTCTAACGATTAAGTGGGGTGTCAGCGCATGCATCTTTTGTTATTTGGGTGGCTATTGCCAATAAAGAATTTCAAGCTAAACGAAAGGTGTATGATAAAAAATTATACCGGTTGGATGCGGGACGACGAGACGTCCGCTTATGGACGCGTTCAGGGCGGTCCATTGGCCATCAGTTGGCCAGCAGGGACTTCCGGGAAGACAGCGACATTGGCTACTGGTGGTGTTGTAATTTTGTGCTGATATTAGCGTTGTATAAATCTGAAAAGAGAAGCAATGCAAATAATACAAGTAGTCAAATTTGGAAATAATGCAAACAGTTGTCAAGCTATAGAAAAAAAAAGAATGGTTTAATAAGATAATTGCTGTCGTACCAGAGTCAATGCAGTCGTAAGGAAATATAATCGACAGAGGAGCAGCTGCCGTTGCATTACTGATGATTTAAAAACTTTCTGTTATCAGCGTTGTATCCGGTAATTCCGTCGCCAAATTCTCTAAATTCATGGACTTGCTCAGAAACGCTTTATGATGGCCATGTGTGTAATGTGTAAATTACACTTGAGATATTAACCTTGAGAACTTTACCAAACCTGTTTATACAGCACAACCGGAAGTCGCACCGTCCCGCATGTAAAGTCGGAACTACGGAAGCTAAAATCTTATCGTTCTATTAACGTACCGGCATGAATGAAAATTTCACGGTGATACATAATTTAAAGAAATCACATAATATAAAGCGACACTTGGACAGCAAAATATGAATCACAATGTCGTGTAACGCAGTGTTTACAGCAGACCAACAGAAACGTGCCAGGCTAACGGACGATAATAAGTTCGAAAGTAATAATATTATCATACAAGATATTAATGATTTATGTGTTTGCTAGCAAGTGTATAGTGTACACTGTAATTTGTACGCAAACATATATATTTTTTCATATTGTATCGCTCTGAGTCCGCAGCGATATCACCGTTATATATGTATTCCATTAGAACCAATGTACATGTAAAGAAACAGTAGGGTAGCAGTTTCCAAAGCTAAAAAGTATTTTTCCATAATTGGGTTTTAAAGACAAAAGCAACATGATGTCGTATCTACAGCCTACATGTACAGGTAACACATATATTTGCAATAGCATACAACAACAACACTTCTGCTATATTTTTCGTGTCAAAAACACTGCATTTGATAACACAGATCGTTATAATTCGAAAAAATATGTTAAATAAAATAGTTATGCTGGAACGTTCTGTACAATTAGGTGCATGTTTGTGATCACTAAATTACTTACTTGGATAAAAAAGTTGATTTGCACCGGTAATTTATTTGTGCTGCTAATAAAATTACTCGCTAAGCATATTTATTTTTAACGTCATCCCAATCGTCATATATGTCGTCATAGTATGCATGATGTAACACCGATTATTCTGTACCTATGTCGATAATCTGTTTACGATGCAGCACGATAAGCAGTGATATAATGCGGTAATTCCCGTAAGCAGCCGCGTATCCATCTGCTCACTCCTGCATCAACAGCAGCGTGAACATTTAATTAACACGATCGGATAGAGCGCATTATCCGGCTGGGCTGTATATACTGTGCCCGGGCGGATAATGCGCATTGTGCCGGTATACCCGGCACAGCTAACGGGCAGTGGATTAGGCGGCGTATAACAGAATGCTCCATTGATCACTGCCCATCTGATCGGGAAGAGGCAGCGGGAGAAGTGCCTCCAAAGGCAACAGATGTCCCTCTCCTCCGTTTCCAATCCGTGACATTTGCTCTCCACCGTGGAGAGAGGATAATGTTTGTTATGGGCAAACTTTTCAATCCGTTCACTGGCTGCACTTTACCATTTATAATTTCTGAGATTGTGTTTGTGTTGATGCTGGGTGAAGGAAAACATTGTGTCAAGTTGTGTATTTTTGCACAATGACACTTTCCTGATTCAAACTTCATCTTCTTCTCGAATTCAAATAATCATGCTATATTTCATATCATGTTTTAGTATTTATGGCTTTAGCCCCAATAAAGATAATTATTACAACAAGCGATAATTTTAATATTTGAACTATTAGTGATTATGTTATTGCTACAAGCATTTTTTTTTCGAACTTAGAATCATTTGAAGTTAAGTAAACATTTTGCAATAATAATTAATGTAATAATTGTAATATTAGGCACTAGTTTCCATATGATATTTTTTGCGTATGAACGAGCAAAAATTATTCATGAATAGAATTTACTGCATTTGCTAAATTGAATTTTAAGAAATTACTACGCATAATTTTGTTTATCGAAAGCAATTGACAACACGTTTAACGGTTTAATCCATCTTTTATTTTTCAGATAATAATGCAACGGCGTAGGATTACTGCATTTTTCTCTTAATCAAGATAAAATACGCTGATGTCATAATGATTATAAATTGGTTGTTATTAATTTCCGGCACGGGCCCGAATTATCGACTGAATGGGGCGCTGGTCCATCGTTGACCCATTGTCACATCAGCCCGTAATCCGATGATATATTGACCATCCGCGTCCGCCCCTTGATCGGTTATACGGCCCGTGCTAATCAGATTGGATAATGCGGCCATTATAACAAGTGGGCACTTGTGCCGGTGAACGGCGGGCCGGGCGACTATACGGCAAACTATGCCATATGGCACACAAACAGCCACAGCAGGAGCGGCAATGGATACGCTACTCCATTGTGTACGAGTCTGTCGCCGGTGCACTGCCTGACAGACAGCGGGACAGACAGAGTGAAGCCGTCGCGGCAGATTGGCGTATCACGATGCCCCCGCGTCAGCCGTGTTAAGCGTTTACATATTCCGCAGTCCACAATTACTGACCGCCGCACTTGCCATTCGACAATCTCCGCCGGCGGTTAACTCACCAATCTGCTATCATTTTAAACTTGCTCGAGTTAAAATTTCTATGATCATTTTCGCCTTCGATTTTGTAATTAAATTAAACATGCCCTCTTTCGTTAAATCTCCGCATTAATTTATCGCTAACTGAGTATTCCGAGCGTGACCTTTTTCTTAATGTTACGTATTTGATGGACAGGAATGACGGCAGATTTCGGTCAAAATGGACAGCCCAAGAAGAAGCGCGGACCGAAGAAGAAAGTGTGGCCCGCACAGGTGCGGCAGCAGCGGCAAATGGCCCGCCGGAACCGCGCTAACCACCGCGAACGCCAGCGGATGCACGGCCTGAACCGGTCACTGGATCTCTTGCGTAATGCCTGTCCGCTCTTTGCCAACCAGCGCCTGAGCAAGATCGATACGCTGCGTCTGGCCCGCAACTATATTAAAGCGCTCTCGCAGATCCTGGAGAACGGGAAGCAGCCGGATATGCTGGATTATGCGCGGACACTGACCAAGGATTTATCGCAAGGGACCATCAATTTAATCGCTGGACATTTACAGGTTAGGCTGACCTTTCATTTGTTATCCAATCACAGCTGGCAGGAGCAGAATAGCGCTAGAGTTATAATTTAGTAACTTCAATGATTTTTTTTAATTCCACAGGAACAGAATTATGATAGGTATTTTTCATTCCTGGTGAACAACAACATATGCATAAACTGTTGTAAATCAGTGTTGCGTTTTTCCCTATTTTATAAATATTGTGGTAGGATCTTTGTTACTAATTTCTAAAGATTTCAGTACTTTATCTTGGATTACATACAGAGTATAGAAATTAATGCAATAATGGTAGTCCTATCGATTTGAGCACCCATTATTTTTTGACTTTTTAGTTGTGGCCCACAAAAACTCTTCTTACAAACCTTCTTGCTTTATTTTTGCGAAAACGACTCGCTCTGTTGCGTTGATGATAAGAAAAAAAAGCGTGTTGTGAAACGTTTCTAATGATTACCAGAGAATGTTTTTTAACCAGTTGCAGCTGTGCGTACTCCCTTATTGTTACAGCCATTGCACTACAAAACTCTGCTATAATATCATATTACTCTGAAGGTTCAACTACGAAGTAGTGCCGAGGTTGTGATTTTCTACAGGTATCTCCTCATCTTCTTTGGTATTCCGAGCACGTTCTGTACACTTCCGACCCTTTCCTGTATCCTCCCACCCTTCCTACCGCTCCATCTTCCTTCCCCTTCTATCCGCAGCCCGATGCGCCACCGCACTTCCGCTGTAATCCGTCCAGCAGCCACGCGGCTGACCAGCTGATGCAACCGGCTGTCTATCCATCCGACGCCTTTGACACGCGTCTCCTCCCCGTCCACGCCGCGCCGTCCAATCAGCACGCCGCGTTCCCTTATCGCCACTGATCGTTCCCCGTTTATTGCGGCGGTATATGGCCGCACGCTAATTACTGTGTGTGATTGATGATGTGCTGTATCGGTGACACTTCTGATCTAGTCAGAATAGCCTGACTGTATGTCATGAGGTAGTAGTGGGTTAATGACGAGTCAATAGGGTGACAGTATTATTCCCTAATTAAACCCGGGCTACGCTTAATTGTTCCTGGTCATTAAATATGGATATGTATGGCGTGCGAGCGTTTTATGCTGCTACAGCGTTCAGCTAATGAACAGATGGGATCACGAGGCCTGTGCTTGGTGGAACTTGGGTCATCCAGTGGCATTTTATAACTGTCGCAGAGTGCCGCTGGTGTGTTAACTATGCTTGCCTTTAACAATCGCAAACAAATTCAACTAAAATATTTACATAAAGTATGATCACGTAAGGCTGTAGAAGCTAAAAGAATCAATAAAATAAAAACCAAAAGATAAAATAGCGTAGAAAACATCTACAATGAAATTTAAAACTATTTTTACTTTAATGAAATGTAGAATTTTCCAATCAACGTTAAAACGATCAACGTAAAATAAAAAAATTTTGCTATAAAGTCACTACGGGCGAACCGCTGTACAAGCCCGCTGATTTACTTTCTGCCTAATTATAAACATACAGAGGTACAGCGAGAAATACAGATTACTTGGTTGCGCGAATGTCCATACCAAGGCCCGCCCCGCCACATTTTTTACGGGTTGGCATGGCTGATATACACGTCAAATATTGATACCGTGTAAACATATTTATCGCAAAATCAAAGAAATTATCTATCAGATTTATTTGTCATATTAAGCCATTGTAAAATAAATTTATCGTTGCGTATTGTGGTGTTGTGGCTGCTTTTTAAGCGCCAGCATCGCGCTTAATGTGTACTGTGTACCTGTGGTATACCTTCACGCAAATTGATCACCCGTATTCGAAGCGCTGAAACTCGACAGACTCGGTTGGATAGTGTTTGGCTGCAGTAAGGTACCTTGTCTCGTGTTCAAAGCAAATTATTTCATCTAGCCATAATAATGAGATATCTGGAATTTTCGTAAATTGCCTCGGTAAGAAAATACTCGCACTAAAAGAAATAGAAGGATGCTGACGCAGTCTCAACAGCCATATATGCAGATACGAAAGAAAAATTCAATCCTAAGGAAAGGTTAACATGTGCTTCAGCAAATGAATGTAGTAAAGGTCACTTGCCTGCCCTCTGCGTTTGCGTTTTAGCCTGCGGCAACAAATTGGTCGGAGTGATGAAATATAGCGGTTTTATGTCGCTCGAATTTCAGGTGGCGCGTAATCATAACGATGCCGTTTTATGGACAAGCTATCCTTCTTTTAGCTTGAAATTAGTTCGAGGGATTTCGCCTGAAAATTTTCACTACTAAAATGTCTTTCAATTCAACCCTTTCATCAAAGAATTCAACATCCGCTCACTCGGCATCTGTGTACCGCGTATTAAGCAGTGTCGAAGCGGTACTATTCCCTGTAGAAACCGCGTACATTACCGTTATCGTCATCGTTTTTTTTCTGCATAAAGCACTGCGTACGACGTTCAACGTGTATTTGATCAACATTATGCTGAGTTACGCCATAGATATGTTTTTGAAGAGCATTACGCAATGGCACCTTCTGGCGGTGGGCTTACAAACGGAGACCAGGGGTACCTGGTGTGCCACGAACATGCTGCACACATGGATTACACCTCAGCTGTATGTCAGTGGACACGCTCTGCTGGCCATCAACCGCATCTGGGCGGCGACCTTCCCTGTACTGTATCGGGCATGCCATACCAAGCGGCTGGCCATAGCCAGCTGTGCAGTAACCTGGGTGATAGTGCTGGCCACGCGCTTGCCGCATTTTGTGGTGGGTGTACAACAAGCGCTGTGGGAGGGCGCCAATCCGACAACGTGCACGTATCCCATGCACGTTTTCCCGATGTATTTTTCGTTTTTGCGGTACCTGGGTATTGCGACGTGGCTGGCTACGTGTGGATCTATGCCGATTGTCCTGATTATGAGGCAGATACGACGCCGGCATTTTTTGTCATCATTGCCAGGTAAAGAAACTAATTTTGCAACGTAATAAATTTTGTACCACGAATAATCAAGCAAGCGAGCGAAGCGAGCTTGCGTTATTATAGATGAGATTTGAGTTTTCTGTGACACGGAGACCTCGAACCCGGGTTCCTGGGTTCGCCACTTAGTTTCTGCTGCTAACCTATATATCTCGACACGCTGAGTCGAATGGCATCGAGGAACCCAAGAACCCGGGTTCGAGGTCGCTGGGTCCCGGAGGTCGCCACCGGGATTTCGCACTTTTCTGGTACAGTTTAATGTGGCGAGTCTAACCGAAATACCCGGGGTCGAGGTCCCGGGTTCCCCGAGGTCGCCACCGGGATTTTGCACATTTTTGGTACAGTTTAATGTGGCGAGTCTAACCGAAGTACCCGGGTTCGAGGTCTCGGGTCCCCCGAGGTCGCCATCAGGATTTTGCACTTTTTTGGTACAGTTTAATGTGGCGAGTCTAACCGAAGTATCCGGGTTGGTTTGTAAATGAGTTTTGAAGTACGAAAAGGATAATCTAGGATTTTAATATGCTGCTTTTGCAGAAGTTGTATGTAGCTTATGCACTGCTTATATCCTTAACAAATCGATAAAAGGGCAGCGCAGACCACTCTGTACTGAAAAAAAGTGTAAACTCTAACCTTCTCCAGAAACGGTGAACAATGACTACAGCTCAATTCATAACCTGAAGATTTTGCATCTAAAGCCACATAGTGCCATGTGGAGATATTGTGCAGCATCATTTTGATGTCCCCAGATATAAGATTTGAATAAACGTTTTAATAAAGATTTCGAAGTCCGTGCACGGTCCGCGGACTTCGAAATCTTTATTAAAACGTTCTGAACGAGCGCTTAATTTAAATTGACCGTACAAAATAAATTAATTAGGAAAACAAATTAAATATTTTTAAGTCTACTTGATTTTTCCCCATTATTTCAAAACACTTCTTAAGTATTTTTAAACATTTCTAAGAATATTTCCAAATATAATTAAAAAATGTTAGTAAGAATAATTCTGAATACTGCTAAATTCTTCTAAATTGCTCTAAAAATTTCTAACATATTCTCAATTATTTCTAATATCTTTATATGTATTTCTAAGTGTTACTAAAAAAATTATTTCTAAAAACATTTTATATATATTTCTGAAAATATTTCTACATATTTTTAAATATTGCTAAATTCTTCTAATATGTTAAATACATTTACAAATAATTCAAATATTTCTTGATATTTCTTAATATTTCTTAATATTTCTTAATATATTTCTGAATATCTTTATTTTAAATTATTTCTTGATTTATTTCTGAATACTGTTAAATATCGTTAAAAAACTTTTTAAGTATTTCTAAATATTTTTAGAAAATGCTAAATTCTTTGAATGTTTTTAAATATTTCTAAATATATTTCTAAAGATGCCAAATATTTCTATTTATATTTCTAAATGATTTTAGAAATAATTCTAGATTATTTTAAAAATATTTCCAACAAATTCCACATAAAACTTGCTTTAAACATTGCTAAATTCTTGCTAAATATTTCTGAAAGTATTTCTAAATATTTGTATGTAATTCTGATTATATTTCTAGAAATTTTTCAATATTTCTGAATATTTTTCGATTTATTTTTGAATATTTCCGGATATTTTTAAGGAAACCTTTATAGGCAACCCTAAAAACCCTTGTTTATTATAGGCACCCCTTTTCGCAGAGTGTTTATTATAGGCACCCTTTCTGAATTAATAATTATGATGTCTGATATTATGTGAACGTAATATATTCCGACATTAAATCATTATTGTTTTATACTGTTGTTAAATTGTTATGAACTTGAAAGCTTACCATGTGCAAAAGGTCAGTGTTAAGAATAATGTTTAATGGAAGGTGCAATCGAAACTTCTGATTCAGAAGTCGTTATCACTGATAGAGTATTCCCATTTCTCGAAAATATCGAACACTAGAAGTATGCAAACCCTTCTTTCAAGGAATTCGAGAAAGATTTTCAGGCATTTTCTTGTCGACTCACTTGGCAGACCATTTCGTACAATGAGTTATGTCCTATTTAAATTGGATGCAACTCGCCGTACGAAAAAAATGCCAAGTTGACTCGACAGTACAAATATAGTGCGTCCCAGTTGCATATATCCTTGGGGTATATCTTACGTTAGATAACATCGCAACCTTGACGTCGTGGTAGTTATTAAGATTGTTTGAAAAATGATAATGATGATATTTGCGTTATTCCACATTCTACATTATGTACAACAATTTTACAAATCTTTGCCCACTTTCAGCACTTCCCCACATTGGGGGTGGCATCTTGATTCTTAATCATCCGTAATATGTTCTGCTGATTTGTTTTTATTGAGAAAAATTGAATTAAAAACTGAGAAAATATTAAATAATCATGTTTATTGATAGCAGTTAGTTTTCGAATAAAACAAAGAATTTAATGCTGTCGGTATATCTCCGATATATCGGTGCAATACTATAATTTCGCACAAAGTAACTGAGGCTTGCAGTCGTATTAAATGTTGTCATAATATTATTATGTACCACGGAAAATATTACTCTTAAAAAAATAATTTTGAGACAAGTCATTACTTGCATTAACACTAAAAACCTACACTAAAATGTCGGTAGGAATCATCATACAGTGTTATTGGGTTTAAACATTAACATACTATTAATTTTGCACGTTGTTTCGTGCGCCATTTCTTTTGTTTATTTGCCGAATTAAGCAAAAAATACTAGGGGCTTGCACATACAGCTGCAATATGGGAGCCATCCTTGATGCTATTTTTGTTTTTCCAAAAAATGTCTACATGTCGCTCGCTTGCTTGCCCTTAGGGCTGCTGAGACCTATACTAGTTATAGATGAGATTTGAGTTCTCTGTGACACGGAGACCTCGAACCCGG